AGCTTAGTGGATCTGAGCCTTCAGCACAGACAGTTGATAAATGAATGCAAAATTGCACAGTTCGATTCATAGTTCTTATCAAACAGTTCACCACAGATGCATGAGTTGTTGCACTACTAATGTATATGTGTGTGTGAGTCCCTAATATACATACTGTATTTGTGTGTATGTATATATAAACGTGTGTAAGTATGTGTATGTTTACATATTTTATATATATGTATATATATATACAGTATATGTGGATATAGGGGGTGTTTTTTCAATGAAGAAGACAACCACTTGGTATTAACCGTCAGAGAATTTGCAAAAAGGGACTGCAGCAAATAACTTCTGTTTAAATAGTTGGGCCTAAAATGAGCTAAAGTGACAAACTGTTTCACACCAGCAATTACTACTGTATGTAAAGACAACATTTTTCAGAATTTATTGGTTCTTTTATGAAATTAATATTAGGTTCTGAAAAATATTGTTCAAATTTCTTTCATGATTTCAGTGTTGGTTTATTTCTTCTGATTTCTGATGTGAAGTTATTGTATGTATTCCAAAGACTTCACAGTCCATGTTCACACACTACACCCGTGAGACCATGTGTTAAAACTGCAGCTTATGTGTAGTGTAGCTACTTCTTACTTCTGCCTGTTTGGACTCACGTCTTCCTGTTTTTCCTTACCACCCTTCTCTTTTTTTTAAAGGAGGACGATGAAGGACCTCTTGAAGTTCAGGAATATGACACCATCTCTGAAAATGGCCTCCTGAGCCGCAATGAACCAATACGCAGCAAAGTTTCCAAACTGACAGAAAAACTGCGCAAACGCTACCCCACTACCAGCACAGGTCAGCCACCCTGACATTATTCTCCTAAAACAACAGGGAGAGAAAGTTGTTTTCTTTCCCATTTCTTTGCTTTCCATTTCAAACGTTTGCATTTTCTCTATTTTCAAAGGCAACTGTTCTGGCTGCAGTGCTGTCTTCTCAGTGCTAAAGAAAAGGGTAGGACTGAGAACTTGTCATAATAATCTGAGATATATTTAGACCATATATAGATCATAATCTGTCTTCTTTTAAATACTGGCTTTACCACATTACAGAGGAACTGCAGTAACTGTGGCAACAGCTTCTGCGCTCGATGCTGTTCTTTTAAAGTGCTGAGAGCTTGTATGGGAGCAACAGGTAAAGGATGACAGATCTAAATATTGGACCATTAAATGTTTTTATTTACCAATTTATTCATCCTGACTAATCTAACCGATCGGCTTTTTCTTCCTGTTTTTTTTTTTTTCAGCTCCAGAGGCCCAGAGAGAGACTGTATTTGTTTGTGCTGCCTGTAATTCTACCCTTATCAAATTATAGTAAGATGTCAGTTTTATTTTCCCAGTGGCCAGTGTGATGTCATCAACTGTTCACACTCAAGCACCGAGGTCCTGAAGCCCCCACATTTCTACAGCACCCTTGTCCGGTCCAGTTCTAAAACCCCTATCCAATTACAATTCCTAACTAGCTGCTAATGATAATTTAAGTTAATTATACTGTAATCCTGGTTGTCCTTTATAATATCTGAATGAACTTCTTCCAACTAAACAGCAAAAGACCAGAAAGGTTCAATGACACCGTCTATATATATATATATATATATATTTTGCCTCCCCTGTGTTGACTCTACAGCCCAGTCACAAAAGCACAAGAAACGATTAACGATCAGTTTTGAAATGAATGATGAATGAAGAGCTGCTCTTCATGTTATACCACACATTTGTATTCACAGAAAATGATCAGCAATTCTGTTTGTGACCAGAGCTGTGCTGTCCCTCTCATCTGTTCACCGTTTCAAAATCGATTTTGCACATTATTCACCATGTGAAAATTCTCAAAATTTGGCAAATACAATAAAAGTAAATTATTATGTTAGATTTTTCTGATGGCGAATATGTGAGTTGTTAGAAATGATTCAAAGTAACATTTTAAACCCTGGTGCTCTTCACTGATCTTACTGTGGGGTTTGTTTGATGTTCCTCAGTTCACTTTTAGCTTGCTTTGTAAATATTGGTTTATTATTATTATTACTATTTAAGGGCCTGTGATTTTGGTTCACTTATTTTATTACTTTTAATAATTTCATCTGCTTCCACTGTAACTCTGCGGGCATTGGAGTTCTCAATACTTTTCTTACAAACCAGTGATTTTAGGGTAATGTGTGACCAAGAGTGAGAAAAACCTTGGAACAATTGATTTCTCTGTTACAGTAATGCACTGTTTGTTGTAGTGTTGGGACAAATTAACCTTCAATGTACTGTGTGTAAGGTTAAGGTCAAATATATACAAATTTCATTTCTCTTGGCAAAAATGAAAGTATAAGCAAGTATAAGCAACAGTCACTTGAAGTTTTCATCATGCCACAATTATACCACTCTAAAGATCTCCACTTTGAAAGTGCCTAAATGCTACAGTAAACCTTCATCACACTGATCAACCCTCTTAAATATTCATCTGCTAATGGGATGTAAATTGTCATAAATCAGACACATACAGTATGTAGTTATGTCCTTTACTGTAATAATTTATTAAATGATCCTGTCCTGAAATTGTCCTTCTAATATATTTAATTGAAAACACCTGAAAGGGTGTGCGTTATTTAACCAAATGCTAAATTGTCCGCCTGTTGGCCCAAAGTGGATTGTTGTATCATGCAATTGTTGAAATAAACTGTGCAATTATTGATTAACTTTCTGTTTGTTTGGTTACACATTTTGAGGTCACTCGGAGTTTTAAAAACAATAAATGTCAGAAATAAGGTAGCAGTTGAAAACACTACCGGTTTAATCAAATGTGAACAACATAATTAACATTAAATCAATATTTAATCAAAACCTCACATTCAACATAAACGAAGATTCAAATTTAAGATAACGTGAGAGTACTTACCATTGTAGAGCCTTTTGAATATGTAGAATATGCAAATAGACAGTGAACCTGCGACAGAAAATATTTAGACAAAATCAAAACAATTGCAAATTACAAATACAACAAAAACACTAAGCAAATGTGCTAGATGCAAACATGAACTTTAATGACACTCTCTGGACACAACGACAAGATGAAAAATAAAAACATTAGAGCAGGGATCTCAAACTCAAATTCACAGTGGACCAAAATTGAAAACTCCATGCGCCAGTGAATTTTTTCTTCTTAGCGTTAGCGCTACCTTTTGTTCCAAAGGGAATAACGACACACTTCGTAGCGACATCGAGACTGAACTCAATTACACTGAGTTTGTTTTTTTAAATTTGAAAATTTTCAATCAACTTGAAATAAAATAGTACATTCAACATTCTCTATAAATAAGTTAAGTCTACTTGTTTGAACCATAACAAGTGAAATATAAATTAATCGTGTTATTAATACTGCAGGCCTGAGTTGCCTAAGTACCTTGAAATAGGAGAGATGGTTTTCACAGTATGGTATCAGAGTTAGAATGTATTCCTATAATGTTTACCTATATCTTGGAACAACCAATATGGAGATGTTTGTCTCTGCAATGGACCGCCCTCGACCCATTAACTGCTGGGATTGACTTTAATCCATGGGACCGTGAAAGAATTAAGCGTTAGCAGATGAATGAATAAATCACTTCTTAACTTCTGTGCATGGCTTCATCAAGATCCCTGACAGAATAATGAACAGAAACAATGGAGGAACCAAAACAGGCACTTAATGAAAGGTGCAAAATATTTAATTAATGAATTACATAAATAATGTACTCATAAGTTAATTAATATAATATGTTTTAGGTTAATTAGGTTTTAGGTTAATTCGGCAATTAATGAAACCAACTAATAACATTGCTCTAATTTTAGTGGATCAACTTTTTTTAACATGGCCAACCAATCTGAAACAAATGTTGATAAACCCTTAATATTATGAAGGTGGTAAGTGTAAGTTTGTATATTCTGTGAAGGTGTTATAAGCAACGTGTGCTATAGTTTAATTTAATTTCACTGACTAGTTAATGGACATTGTAAAATGTATAATTTTTTTTATTTTATTTTACCAAAAATAATATAAGGTCTTTTGATGCTTTTATATCTGTTTGAGAATGCACAGGTATACTTGTCTCTGTCGGTCATTTAGCTGTTTAATTCAAATATAAATAGCTTTCCTAATGGATATTAGAGGAAATGTAAAACAAAACAAAAAACAAAAACAAAAAAAACAAAAAAAAAAAACGACCCCACAATAAGCCAACATGATTTAAAGCTTTCAGCCCCCTCCCCCGTCCACTCTCTACCTTCCCGTCATCCCCTGTGTCCTAGTAAAAACACTCCCGCGCACGCAGAGTTGTCACGGCGGCCGCATATGGCAAGATGGCGACAGAGGTAAGAATACTATTTTCTTAAATGACCTCTTGGGTTTCCATCAGTAGAACTGTCGTGTTGGGTGCGGCTCCAAAGGCTCTGTCGAAACAGGACATTAGGCGGTGACAGACAAGCGGTTCAGGACCGTTTACATTACATTATCATTCACGGTGTTTCTCCTGGCATATCATCTGATTCTGAAGTGAACATCAATTCACGTGATAATCTTACACTGACGTAGTGTGTCAGAAACTCGTCAATGCGCGTTTGCTTTCTCCACACGAGACATCGAGCTGCTTGGGTGAGAATAGAAATCAGTGTTTGTGTCTACTGAAAATCCCCATAAATCCGGTATACACACACACACACACACTCACAGTCCAGCACCATGGACAGAAGCCTTGTAGTAGGGACATTACGGTGCACAGGTTTAAATCAAGGCTAAAATAATGTATGTATTCATCTATCTCACCTCGTAGCTGCACATCGATCTGTTGTGTATTGTTGACTGTTAGGCTACAAGAAGAGAGTCTGCGTCAGAGATTGTATGTCCACTGCTGGGCTGCGTGCCAACAGGGCTGCAGTGAGTGTAGGTACTAACCCACAGAGTGACAGATCACATCTCCACTATCATCCAACACTTCCACAGCGGCTTGTTGTGTGTGCAGCCTGCCAATGAACAGGTACACTGCTGCTCTACCTGTTATAAACCTTGGTCTCTGGCCAAGGATCAGCAGACTGATAGAGAGGTGGAGCAGGGATTACTACCTCAATATACTGTAAAATATTTTTAATTAAAGAAAGGTCTTACAACAAAAAACACGCTCCAACCCCTCTGCAGTACCTCAGCACACTAGGGGCCACAACCCCCCTGCAACACATTTAACACAACACAGCACACTAGGGGCCACAACCCCCCTGCTGAAGTCCTTTACAAAAGCCAACAAACACATTTAATGATACATTTATGTAAGTCTTATTAACACATTTAATATGACTTGGTCATATGATATGTCACGTGTGGGAAAATAACAGGACAAATTTAACGAATCAACCGTACACAGAACAATCAAACTGATTAACTCTTATTTAATCTCTAAATCAAAGAAGCGTGCAATGTCTGTGGCATTTCCACCAAGCTAGGGCCGCTCAATGATGGAAAAAAAACATAAACACAAGTGTTTGGGCAAATATTGGAACAAGGTTATTTAAACATTGCCTTCATTACACAAAGATACTGCAACAAAAGTGAACATAGTTAGTTTACCTTACTGACTGCACACTACTGCCTCCTGTCGTCCTCCTGCTATTTTTACATTTCTACTTTTTAAATACAAGTGTTCTACTTCTACTTCTTCTTCTTTCTGCTGTTCCCTTCAGAGATCACCACAGCAGATCATCTGCCTCCATCTCACCCTATCCCCTGCCTCCGCTGCTTTCACACCAACTATCTCCATGTCTTCTTTCACTGCATACATCCACAAATCTCCTCTGAGGTCTTGATTTGTCGTCTTTTAGTTCCATAACCTGCAAGAGTTGCGGCACAGTGCTTCCCTGGCCAACAAAGTCTTCATCCAGAGAGACTACAGTGAAGGAACCACCTGCAAGTTTCAGACCAAGTTCCCCATTGAGCTGGAGAGCAGGGTGAGGACTGGGTGATGATCCTGTATTCACTGTGTAGTGGTCGGGTTTTTACCCATTTCAATTGCTTATGTCTCTGTCCGTGGTGCTTTTGTCTCCAGATTGAGCGAACACTCTTCGAGGACACTGTGAAAACTCTCAATAACTTCTACGCGGAGGCAGAAAAGATTGGAGGACAGTCATATTTAGAGGGGTGTCTGGCCTGCACTACGGCATATCTGATCTTCCTTTGCATAGAGACTCGTTATGAGAAGGTCAGACACATTTTTTAAAAAGTTGATCCATTTCAATTTTGATTATAAATGTTTATTTTTTTAATGAGCTTCTTTTTCCTCATGCCCTCCAGGTGTTGAAAAAGATAGCCAACTACATTCAAGAACAGAACGAGAAGATCTATGCTCCCAGAGGTCTGGTCATTACAGACCCAATAGAAAGAGGAATGCGTGTTGTATCCTTAATTACTATTCTCTGATGAATAAGGCGTGTATATGAAGCTTCTTTTTGATTAATGACATTTATTGGCACTTGACTTTTTAACGTTTTCCCCAGATAGAAATTTCCATCTATGAAGACCGGGGCTCATGTGGCTCCAGCTCAGGAAGCAGCTCTGTGTCTGGCAGTACTGCCCGATGACTAACTGTTCCTAAAGATTGTGTTTCACCCGGTTGACACTAACACCACATCCTGCAATATGGGACATGCTGTACATCTCTTTAGCTTCGCTCACAAAAAGAAATCACAAGCGATTTATTTATACATTTTTGGTGAAAATGTGGAGGAAAAAAACTGAACTATGGGTTTTTGTGAAATTCTAATTTTCTGTCTGAACAGGATGGCAGGTGTTACTGTTTAGCTAGGAATTAGAAATTTAAACACCACCCAACTTCATACCTCAGCTTTCACACATCTTCCACTCTGGATCCATCAGACAAGCTAGGATTTAATATTAGGTTTGTCAGCTATGTCTGAAAATCTGAAGATCAAATTAAAGAGATTCAAACTTTAAAGTGATGATGTGTAGTAGCAAATAATGTATGCTATGAAATGTAAAGTGTAGCAAATTATCCATTATATCGTACCCAAGACATAAAACACAGAAATGCTTGAATAAGACACTTACCTCTGAGTCTCAGCTCTTCCTAAATTAGATTTTTTATCTTAAAAGTCTTCCTGAATCTTACCAGATGGTGTGTTTAAATACTCAAACAGTCTTTGAACTTGAGCAAATGTCCAAATGTTGAAAAACTAATCTGAATGTGTTTTTTTATTATTTTGATGTTGAACACAAGAACCACTTTCATATTGATTTCCTTTAATACATTCAGCGATAGGACATGTGCGACGTGTGTCAAATAATAAATAAATGTTGATTTAAAATGGCAAAAGTTTGTTATTTATTATTACATAGTTAACATAGTCAAGAGACCAAAAAGTTGTTGTCTTACCTTTACATTATATTATTACATACTGTATATTCATAAAACTCTACATTACACAACAGCACAGTCTAATGCAAAATGGGCCTGTACTGTACACACTTAAGACCAAAATAAAAAAACACATCCAAAAAAAACCAAAACTTTTCCTTCAGGATGGTTTAAAATTATTAATAAAATGTATCTTAATATATATCTTTATGTTTTGAAAAAAATAGTTTTACGTGAAGCAAACAACATTTGTTTGTAACAAAAAGAAAGACACAATTAAAATGTTGTACAATTAAAATATTTTCTTCTTAGAAATCCCATTTAATTTCCTAAATTTAATTCACCTACAGTCACGTTACGTGTTTATGAATAGAAATCATGTTAAAAACTTAAATATGCGAATGACGTATGAACGGTCACAATGATCACTATGGCTGTTCTTACAGTTACATAACTTACGGTAGTTCGTGTGTAAAAGTGAAAGCTCTTCTTACCTTTTGGAATTAATGGTCCGATGGTTGGGGATGTTTAAAGCAGAGAGAATGGCCACCGTTCAGCAAAGTTAAAATGTGTCTATCTCCATCTAGTGGCATAAACAAAAATCACAGCTTATCACTGATTAATACCACACACGCACACACTTTTAGTTTGATGAAAACACAGAAATAAGATAAAACACATAGTAAGTCCATGGAGCTATTGCAGAAGAGTCAATTTTTGATTGATCAAATATGCTTCATATCTATTTCGTGTGTTCTTCCTTTTAATTCCCATTTGTTCTTTAGTGTTTTAAGTGGATCAGCATTTTTCTTTCTTGACGATTCTTTGGTAATACTCTATTTAAATAAGTAGTCTGTATAGCACATTAATATGTGGCGCAGGAGAGCAGCTCCAATCAGCACTTGCGTATGGGATCTTTCCGGGAGGTAATGGCGGATACATTGACGTGTTTTTCATGAGGCCCCCTATCGTTGCGTCACTGTAGTGCGACAAATATCGTTCTAGTAAACAACCCAGCCCGGTAAGCTACAAAAACAACTAATCTGTTCGTGCATTTATTCAGGTGATTCAAATGAAAACGACTAGGACTAGTGAATTACACTCCAGCTAAGCTAAGATCTGACTTCGGTTCCTGATAATAAGATGTTCTCATGAATGACAGATAGGTCCTTAGCTGTGGTGCTTAGCTAACTACATTGTGCTGATAAAATGTATGTTCATATTAGCAGAGTGCGTCCACTGAAAACACGATAAACACAAAGATATTTTCTTATTCTTGATATATAATATTTATCAATTTATTTCGCCGGGAACTAAACGTTAACGTTTAGTCACATCTGAGTTATTGTGTCTACTTAAGACGTAAAGGTCTAAACGATGACTAAACGCCATTCTAATGGTTTAGAAACCCAGAGTATTGAGTGTTGCGTCTTCGAAAATTTGATTTTAACCAATACTGAAATATAAACACGTTGGCTGCGTCTGTAACCTCGGTTGTCTTTTTCTCCTTTTCCTGATACACCAAACTTTAAGAGACAGATCTGAATTGCAGGTAAATGTCTGTAAAATTCCTTGAATTTGTTATTGAAAGTGTTATCGTGATGGAATACAAGGTTTATCCAGTGTGTACAAATCTTAATATAAATGCAGAAGAACATTTTTAATATTAGCAATTTAGTTTTCGGCACTTCCAAAGGAAATGTTTCTTTCTGTTATTCTCAAATTATCTTTGGTTTCAAAGACTTTTTTTCTGCACAAATTAAAAAACATCCCCTGCTCCATTCTCCTCTGATCCAGGTTTTTTGGCAACAATATTTAGATATGGAGTCGGAGAAGCCAAAGGAACAAGCTCCTCCAGTGGATTTGACAACCACACCTCCATCTCAGACAAAAAAGCCAAGTCAGGCTCTGTATGTTCCTAAACAACGTCTCAATGCCACCAAAAACAAAACTCAGAAAGAAGTTAAGCCGAGGCCTCAATACACAGACAAGGCACGGAAGAATGCCAAAAACAAGAAGAGTAGGATTGGGGAGGAAGAAAAGCCTGCAGCTGTCGTTGGAGAAGATGGGCGTCCAACACAAAACAACAACACAAACTTGGAGGGAAAAGTAGAGGGACCAGAGAACGTTGGAGTGCATGTGAACGATCAACCTGAACCGAACAGTGTGGAGGAAGGTATTTCAAAACAACTGGAGCCAATGTCTCTAGAGGATGAAAAGGGCGAAGATGAGAGCTGGGAAAAGATGTTTAATGAAGATGGGGATTGTTTGGAGCCACATCTTCTTGAGGAGGTAAAAACGGTGCACTACACAGAGTAGATCACAACAGAAAGAACGTTCTGATAGCAGTAACATTGTCTGCAAAAATAAAACAGGTTTTAGATGAGCATGAATGTGTCCAGTGGTAACAAATCTTTCATCCAAACAATTTCTGCGTTTCTAATTTCAGCTTGCTGCAAAAGAAGGAAAAAAGAAGCCCTCAATTCAGGAGCCAAGATTTGATTATTTTAATATGGACCCAGCTGATGATGAAGATGATATCAACCTTAGAGAAGAAGAGCTCTCTCACATTGTAGAGATCTATGATTTTCCTCTGGAATTTAAAACAGAGGATCTTCTTAAAATGTTTCAGTGCTATCAGTAGGTATCTTTGTAGTTTTGCATGTTTGTCCCAGTGCATTTTACATAAATATACACACACACACATACTGTATACACTAATATATATATATACTCTGTATATATATATATATACTGTG